CAAGCAAGAATTACAGTTACAATATTTATAACTACTTTATCTTTTATCATAACTAAGGAAAACTATAATTATAACTATTCTTCAACTCTTATCAAAGACTCCAGAAGGCTATATTACCTAAGTAACCAGGAAGTGCATTGTAAGCAACTTGCAGAGACATCTTGTTGCCTGAACAGTTACCCAAAGGTCTTCGGTAATGTTGCAGGCACCCATCTTCAGCCTACAGGCCCATAGTATCTAGCAGACTTTTCCACGAAGCAGGAAATTTCAAAGACAGGTCTGCCTATATTGGCAATTTGTCAGTCACTTTCTTCTGTGTCCTGCAGAATGTCTTGCAGACTCTTCATGAAACAGGAACCCTGATGGACTATCTCACCTTTAGGCAAGTTTATTTCTCTGTAGGTCCTGCATCTCCAGTTCATACAGCATAATATCAAACATTCCAAGAAAAAGCAGTTTCTTGCCCGAATGGCTAACAAACTCCATGAGGAGCCTCTTCAATGCCCATCTTTCTCTTGAAGTAGATTAGTGCTGCCAGAAAAGTTCTAAATTCTTAAAACATTTTAAATGCCATCTTATGTAAGTCTTTAAAAGGTTTGAAGAATACCTATCTAACTGAAATAAATATATCTTTATATATCTAGAAAACCTAGCATGACTACAGGCTTGACTATTATAGATGACTATCTATTGACCTTTATTTCTTAATTATACATTACATTTTTAAATGAGCTGCACAAACACAATACCTTAATCAAGAGCAGAAATACACATATAACAAAATTGACCTTAAATTTGTATCAGTAAACCAAGATCCACACCAGTGCAAAGTATTCATCTCTATATCACATACATACATACATACATACATACATACATATTTTGAGTTATATTTGAGGGAAAACAAAAGACGCTTGCTTGCTTGTTTGTTTTTTTCCCAAAGCTGAAGACCAATCCCAGGGCTTTGAGCACTCTTACCCCCAACAAACCCAGTATTAACCCAGATTATTCAGCAGACCCCTTCTATAGACAGTACTGTTCAGTCCACTGCTAATTTGATTATGAGAATAAACAAGGGGCTCAAGACAGCCCAGTGCTTAAAGCACCTGCTTCTTTTACATAGGACCCAGGTTTGCTTTCTATAGCGTCTACATCAGGCAATTTACGACGACATGTAACTCCAATCCCAGAACCCTCTTCTGGCCTCCAAGTTTTCCTGCACACAAATGGTGCACATACACAGGCACAAACATATAAAATAAAAGAATAGATACTTTTTGTTTGGTTGGTTTTTTGTTTTTCGAGACAGGGTTCCTCTGTGGCTTTGGAGCCTGTCCTGGAACTAGCTCTTGTAGACCAGGTTGGCCTCGAACTCAAAGAGATCCGCCTGCCTCTGCCTCCCCAGTGCTGATATTAAAGGTGTGCGCCACCACCGCCTGGCCTAGATACTTTCTTTTTAAGTAAACAAAAGTAAAGCACTATGAACAATGTGACCTCCTAGATGCTTCTTTGTGACTGACAAAATGATGACTAAATTGAAAGCCAGCCTGGTTTTGACCCTTTCTCAAAAAGCAAAAAGAGGGTTGCTAACACAACTCAATTGTAGAGCACTTAATCCATCATGACTGATGCCTAAGGTTCAACTACTGGAAGGGAAAGGGGTTATTTTGGCATTTAATCTCATAATCCTGTTGATACATCACTCTACTTTTGTAAGAGGACAGCTGAGGCTGTGGGATGGAAACTCAGTTGACTGGGATTAGTGGGTTGACCTGCATCTTCCTGACTGAAGTGTTATGTTTGCTCCTTTCTGAAAGACAGGAACAGCTGTTTTGAGAACAGAGTCTGACCGTCATAGATGAGAACTAGGGCAAGGTGCTGACACTGGAGAGTGCTATTCTGGGTTCTTGAGGGGGGGGCCAACAGAGACTTTGTGAAGGGAATTCTTTGACCTCAAGTGGGAAAGAGAGTCAGGTAAGGAAAACCGGAGTCTTAACCCACATCTTGGAGCCAATGCGCAGATGAGGGGCTGCCACACAGCCAGTCCCTGGGACCCCATAGAGAAAAGGGAGGACACTAAGACCTGCCAAGACCTGTGGTCATAAAGGCATAATAAATGAATGAATGAATGAATGAATGAATGTTTAAAAGAAAGCCTTGTTTTTCCATTCCATGAGAATGTCACCATCTAAAGGTAGCTTTTTTGCATGCTAGGTTTGGGGTGGTTATACCTTGTTTCTTGGATATAGCTAGACTTGTGAAGTTTTAGTTTCTTCCTGAGACTCCAGGCTTGACTATGAAGTTTGTAAGGGTGATGAAAGACTATTTTCTGAACTTTATAGAATGCCGAGGTAGGTTTTATGTAGAAGGAAGCTTGCAATTTAGATTTGTCTCCTTGACAACGTGTGTGTCTGTGTGTCTGTGTCTGTCTGTCTTCATACCTATGCCAGGTCTTTTGAATAGACTTTGTTGAGAATGTTGTGGGCTTGGTTCTGTTCCTTCAAGAATGAATAGAACCAAGCATGATGGCCCACTCCTTTTAATAACCGCACTCAAGAGGCAGAGAGTTCTAGGCCAGCCAGGGCTAAATGATACTTTGTTTCAGAAACCAACGAAAGAGGAGGAGGAAGAAAACATAATCTTTATCTGAAGGATTCAGGGTTGTTAAAAGAGATCATTGTTTTGAACAATGTCTTACAGTTCAACAAATGTCTGCTAAAAGTGATGAAATGTGGCCAGAATGGTGACTGAATCCCAGCACTCGGGAGGCAGAGGCAGAGGCAGGTGAATCTCAGTGACTTCAAGGCCAGCCTGGTCTATAGAGTGAATGCCAGGACAGCCAGAGCTGCTTCAGAGAAACCCTGTCTTGAACTGCCCCGTTCCAAAAATACTAATGAGATATTTGTAAGTTAAAAAAAAAAAGTGATGAAATGTTTGTAAGTGAAGAAATGACTGAGTGTAGAACTTAATGAGGTGTATAAGGGAAAGAATGGCAGACGTGGGGGAAAAACATTACATTATTTTTAGATTTGGTAAGAGAACCTTCTAAACACTGGTGTTTAGAAAGAAGAAAGATATATACATAAAAAATGGTGTAATAGTCCTAGCGGATCCTTTCTGCCCCTTCTCAATATGACAAACTTGGCATTTATATTTGCTTAGAATAGTTGATCCTCACTGACTCTGGTGGTGCAGGCATGTAGTCCTAACTATTTGGAAGGCTGCAGTAGGAGTTCAAGGCTTGCCTGGGCCACAGACTAAGGAGAATCCAGGCAAGTTACTGAAACCTCTAAAAAATAAAAGAGGGCTGGGATATATAGGTGGCCTGTTTTTTTATGAGGCCATAAGTTCAAGCTAAAAAGGAGTTTAGTACCAAAGAGGAAAAAAATTGATGAGTTTATAAAAATCTTAATATGTGAAGGCCCTACAGCAGTAATAGCTTTGTTAGCTGTTGGTAATTGAGGGTCTCCAAAGTAAGGCTAACTGAGCACAAACTACTTTTAGACAGCACAGTTTTCCTTGAAGTTCATGATCATTTCTGTTGCGTAAATGGAAATGATTACAGAAAAACAGAGATGGTTTCATTTATCTAGATGTGATTACTATGTCTGTCTGTGTGTGTACACACGTGTGTTTTCAGGCTCTTTGCCTCTCCCCAGCCCTTGTAGAGTGTATGGTTTTGTCCCTGATTGTTCAGTATAATCATTTGTAGATTCACTGAGAGCTTATGTAGTAATGCTTGCCTTATTTTTTTCTCTTCCACTCTTGTTTATTTTTTACTTTTTTTTCCCCTCTTTGTGATGTGACATTTTCAGCTGATGTTTTGAAAGCAAATCCTTCTAATTTGGGAGCCCAGATCACAAGAGTGAGTTTTTTTCTATAGTGTCTTTAGCTGTTTATCTTTTTTGTGTGTATGTCTTTTCTTCCCTTCCCCCTCCCAATTTTAAAAGATTTGAAATACATTTCATAAATATTAGGTAAGAAAATTCCTATCTGTTGAACACCATGCCTTTCTAAAGCAATGTCCACTTTATATTGGGTCAACTCCCTTTCCTAAGCTGTTGAAGAAGCATAGGCTAATGGGTAGGCCTCGCTTCACTTTTTATATTACTGTGTTGCACTGTCATCATTGCAGATGAGTACGTCTATGCTCTGTCACCAGCCTGTCTCATGAGACTTCTTTCTTTAGTTTTTGTTTCTTTTGTTTTGAGGAAAATTACACAGTAGCATCTGGAAACAAAAGACCTATTCTGTTACTTGAAGTTTAAGTAACAAAATCTTTATCTTTCCTGTAGTCTCCTTCTCCCTGGTGTTTCTCTCAGGGCTATGAAGGAACGAAAAATTACATAATTATTTTCATTTCAGCAGACGGGCTGGGTGAAAGTGGTCAGGCTGAGTTTTGAGCATGCTATGGTTGGAAAACACACACACACACACACACCCGACTTTAATGGTTACAGGAAATCTCTGTTAGTGCTGAAACCAAACAAAACCTACACTTTTTATTTTGTGGTGGGGGGAAGTATTTCTGTTTGTTCTGAATTTGATAGCCCCTACCCCCATGTAAGCTGTACATTGCTTTTTTAGCTCTTACACCTTGGGTAATTTTCTGTACCAGCCTAACCCCTCTCTGTTCACTTCGGCCTGTGTTGCTACAATGTATCTCATATTTGTTTGTCTGGTTCTGCATCCTGGAAGAGCAGGTGATTGGTCTCTCTTCTTTCTTCCTTATACTCTAAAATTTGCCTGTTTCTTCTGAAATCATTTTGTTTTGTACAATAAGACAAATGACTTGCTGTTCTGATTACAAATGCCCATATCCAAGTGTCATCCTCAAAGTAATTAGCCATTGTGTTTCTGGGTACCATATAAATATAATAGTGCATCCCACGCTAGTGTTCCAGCAGTGGTTAAAGGTAAATATTTTAAAGGCTTGGCCTTCACAGCTGTATGCCACTGAAAATCACTCACCCTCTCTTTCTTTCTTTCTGTTAACTCAGAGATTAAAAGATCTCAAGCAGAGAGAGTTTGCCCGAAATGTTTCTTCAAGGTCCCGCAAAGATGAAAAGAAACAAGAAAAAGCCCTTCGGAGGCTCCACGAGTTGGCAGAGCAAAGAAAACAAGCTGAATGGTAGGGAAATTTCATGTCAAGAGTGTTTTGTGAATAAATAGAATCCGCAAGGTTTAAATTGACAGATTTAAAATTGGAATTCAAACACTGATATGGCAGCTCATGCCTATAATTCTAGCACTTAGGAGGCTGAGGCAAGAGAATTGCTGCTAGATTAAAGCCATCCTGGACTACAGTGTGAGACTCTTGTGAGTTTCAGGACAGCCAGCTCTATATAATGAATTCCATTGTCTTAAAAACTAAAAACTTAAAAGTAAATAAACAAATTTTGTTATTTAAAAAGTTTATTGGAGCCGGGAGGTGGTGGCGCATGCCTTTAATCCCAGCACTCGGGGGGCAGGCGGATCGCTGTGAGTTCAAGACCAGCCTGGTCTACAAGAGTTAGTTCCAGGACAGGCTCCAAAACCTGTCTCGAAAAACCAAAAAAAAAAAAAAAACAGAAAAAACAGTTTATTGGACATCAGGCAGTGATAGAGCATCTCTTTAAGACAGAGCCTGTCCACTCTTACCTTTCCACTCTTAGCATCACAAGTTTAGTGCCTTAGCATGTGACGTGTGTGCAACTAAGTGAATGGGTCACTCTGCAAAGGAGGGACGTCTGCTTTTGCCGTCCTACCACGCCTACACACCCTTGGTTTAGTGTTATCCTATACTTCAGATTTCTGCTTTGTGTTCACTTGGTTTTTGTTTTTCTATACTGAAAATAAGTGGGAATTTGGGAAGAAAAAAAACCATGAGCTCTAATGTTGAATTAAACCAGCTATAAAATGATTGAAATTTTTTATCTGATGGATTTTTAAATTTTATTTGCTGTGTGTGTGTGCGCGCGCGGGCGCACACGCCCATAGACACATACACACACACACACACACACACACCAGGGCATATGGAAGACAGGAGAGTTCTTTGGAATCTGTTCTCTTCATTCCCCTTTAGATGATTAAACTCAGGTCACTAGGCTTACATGACAAACCTTTCCCACTGAACCATCTCACCAGCCCAGTTTGCAACTCTTTATATAGTAAACATTTCTCTCTTGGGTGTGTTCCAAGACTATCTCCCCAAAAGATGTACATCAGACCACTTTCTGTTTCAGGACACATTATACCATCTTTTTCTTCAGAAAGCAACTTTTAGTTTAGTAGTTAAAAGATGACAGAATAGAGATGGTCATCATGTAGGCTGCTGGTTTGGCACTCCCCCTGACAAGCAGCATCGTTTGTTTGTTGGTGTGAGGTAGACTTTAACACAATATAAATATGTCTTACTCTCTGTATCTGCTTGGATTCCATCTTTGAACAGCAACAGCATGTACAGCAAAATCTAGATACCATGGCCTCTGGGTTTTTTTTAATCCCAAATTGAGAACAACTCATAGCTAGTGAATTATCTAAGTGTCTTTAGTTATTGAGTTCAGAATTTAGGAAATGCCTATATAGCTCAAACACTGAAAATTTTGGGGAAGATATATAATAAAACTGATTTTAAAGCTCTTCTGTAGTACTGTTGTGGGAGCTGGACGGTTGCTCATCAGGGGTATTGTTCTGGGCGCCCAGAAAGTATAATAGTTCCTGTGGATTTATTTTCTGTGCCTTTACTTACCCAGTAAGCTGTGATATGAAAATATTAAAAGAGGTCAGAAGGATGCCTGAGCAGACTTGAATTCAGTCCCCAGAACCAATAAAGTAGACAGAGAGAACCAACTTCCCTAAGTTGTCCTGACTGCCACACATGTACCTTGGCTTGTATGCATGCACACACACAACTAATAAAATGTAACAAGGACTACATTAAAAAGAAACATATAGTTGGATATGATGACACACACCTTTCTTTTTTAGATTTATTTATTTATTTATACGGTTTCCTGCCTGTAGGCCAAAAGAGGGCACCAGATCTCATTATAGGTGGTTGTGAGCCACCACGTGGTTGCTGGGAATTGAACTCAGGACCTCTGGAAGAGCAGTCATTGCTTTTAACCACTGAGCTATCTCTCCAGCCTGGCACATGCCTTTAATACAAGCACTTGAAAAGCAAAAGCAAGTGGATCTCTGTGAGTTCAGTGCCAGCCTGGTCTACACAGCAAGTTCCAGGACAGCCAGGACTGTTATACAGAGAAACCCTGTCTCAAAAAAACAAAGTAAAGGGGCTAAGAAGGTTGCTCAGTGGTTAAGAGCACTAAATGTTCTTCCATAGGACCTGGATTCGCTTTCCAACTCTTACGTCATGGCTCACAATCTTCTATAACTCTAATCCCAGGGCATCTGATGCACACATGTGGTTCACAGCATACACATAAAAGCAAAATATACACATAAAAATAAAATGAAAAGAGTTTGGTAACAGATACAGAAACTGAAGGTATTGGTAAAGGAAATGGCCAGTGAACCAGAAGAGGCAGCAAGCCCTATCATCCCCAAGAAGAAAAGGAAATTTTCTTCTGAGGAGCCTGAAGCTGCTGCTAGTTCTACAAAGAGTACAAAAAGAAAAGAAAAGAAAAGAAGAAGTCCTAGAAAGCATCCCAAGAGGATTAAAATGGACATGCTTGGTGGGAAGGGCATACCTTGAAGGTGACAGTTCCTACCCATGATTAACCCCAATACAGACACGCACGCACGCACAAACCATAAAAAGAATTTTTTTTTTTTTTTTTTTTTTTTGGTTTTTCGAGACAGGGTTTCTCTGTGGCTTTGGAGCCTGTCCTGGAACTAGCTCTGTAGACCAGGGTGGTCTCGAACTCACGGAGATCCGCCTGCCTCTGCCTCCCGAGTGCTGATTAAAGGCGTGCGCCACCATCGCCTGGCCATAAGAAAAAGAATTTTAATTGTAGAGCCTGGAGAGATGGCTCAGAGGTTAAGATTACTGGCTACTCTTCCAGAGGATCCGGATCCAGGTTCAATTCCCAGCACCCCATAGCTATCTATAACTCCAGTTCCAGGGGATTGAGCACCCTCACACAGACATACATGCAGGCAAAACACCAATGCACATAAAATTAAAATAATTTTTTTTTAATTTGAGTTATGAGATAAGCCTTTTTGTAGGGCAGATAATTTAAGAGCCAATTCCTAACTAGCCTTGGAAATTTAGTATGTTACTTTAATCAAATGAAACTTTGCCTAACTCTGCTCAACAAGTTCCATGCATCACATTGGTAGGGACCTACTGCTCTGCACCTTTGAGATCTACCTATGATGAATGGGAGGACGAAGAAGATAAAATATATAACTCTAACCCTATGTGTTATTTTTTCACTTTCTGAACCACTATATAGTGCGCCTGGAAGCGGTCCCATGTTCAGACCAACCACGGTGGCTGTAGATGAAGATGGTGGAGATGAGGATAAAGATGAGTCATCAACAAACAGTGGTGCAAGTGCTGTTTCTTCTTGTGGCCTTGGATCTGAATTCTCCACGGATAAAGGGGGCTCTTTCACTGCAGTACAGATCACTAATACCACTGGACTGGCACAGACTCCTGGGTTAGCCTCCCAAGGTATCAGCTTTGGCATTAAGAATACTCTGGGGCCCCCACTGCAAAAATTGGGAGTTTCATTTTCCTTTGCCAAAAAGGCTCCTGTCAAACTTGAATCAATAGCATCCGTTTTCAAGGACCATGCAGAGGAAGGAACCTCTGAAGATGGAGCAAAAACTGATGAGAAGAGTTCTGACCAAGGGGTGCAGAAGGTGGGAGATACTGATGGGAGTAGTAATCTTGAAGGGAAGAAAGAAGATGAAGACCCTGCGGATGGAGGGTCCCTTGCCTCAACACTGTCCAAGTTAAAAAGGATGAAGCGGGAAGAAGGAACTGGAGCTACAGAGCCAGAATATTACCACTACATCCCCCCAGCGCACTGCAAAGTCAAACCTAATTTTCCCTTCTTACTGTTTATGAGAGCCAGTGAACAAATGGAAGGCGATCATAGTACACACTCGAAGAATGCCCCAGACAACAAGAAAAGCAGCTCTCCTAAGCCTAAAGGTTGCATTAAGGCAGCAGCAAACCAAGGAGTAGAAAAGGCAGTTGGTGAAGTTTCTGAGCCTCCGCAAAAGGAAACCGCTCTGGCTGAGCCTTCAGAGCCTGGAGACAAATCTGAGTCAAAGAAGGCCTCAGGAGAGGGTATAGGTGAGCAGAGTATGGAGAGCCAGAAGACTTCAGAGAGCCAGACACGTGAATCCAATCCTAAAGAAGTTTCGCAGGCCACCTCAGCAGCAACAGCAGGCCAAGGACCCAAACATCCCACTGGTCCGTTCTTCCCAGTTTTGAGCAAGGATGAAAGCACTGCCCTCCAGTGGCCATCAGAACTATTAATCTTCACCAAAGCAGAACCCTCTGTTTCCTACAGTTGTAATCCTTTATACTTTGACTTTAAACTTTCAAGAAACAAAGATGCCAGGGCTAAAGGGACAGAAAAACCAAAAGATGACGGAGGCTCCTCAAAGGATCGTCTCCAGAGCCTTGATCCTAGAGAGCCGGATAAAAGTAAGGAGGGGGAGCAGAATGTAGAACACTCCTCAGAAGGCAGAATGGATGAACCTGTCTCAGGGGCTGCCTGTAGCAGCCTGAACAAGCAGGAGCCTGGTGGTGGTCATGGGTCAGAGACTGGAGACACAGGAAGAAGCCATCTTAGCAAGAAAGAACCATCAGGCAAGTCCCACAGACACAAAAAGAAAAAGAAACACAAAAAATCCAGTAAGCATAAACGGAAACACAAGGCCGATGTGGAAGAGAAAAGTTCTAAGGCAGAGTGTGGAGAGAAATCTAAGAAGCGTAAAAAACGAAAGCGAAAGAAGAACAAGTCATCAGCCCCAGCTGATTCTGAACGAGGACCCAAACCAGAACCGCCGGGGAGTGGTAGCCCTGCACCACCAAGACGACGCCGGTGCACCCAAGATGATTCCCAGCGGAGATCCCTTCCTGCTGAAGAAGGAAACAGCAGCAAGAAAGAGGATGATGGAGGTGGTAGCAGTTCCCAAGATCACAGTGGGAGGAAACACAAAGGTGAACCTCCAACTTCATCTTGCCAGCGGAGAGCTGGCACTAAACGTAGCAGCCGCTCCAGCCGTCGGAGCCAACCCAGTAGTGGGGATGAGGATAGTGATGATGCCTCTTCTCACAGGCTGCATCAGCAGTCTCCATCCCAGTACAGTGAGGAAGAGGAGGAGGAAGAGGGGGAAGAAGAGGAGGATGAAGACGAAGACTCAGGCAGTGAGCATTCTCGTAGCCGCTCTCGGTCTGGCCGTCGCCCTTCCCCACACCGTTGCTCCAGGCGTTCTTACTCGAGCAGCTCTGATGCTTCTTCAGACCAGAGCTGCTATAGTAGGCAGCACAGTTACTCTGATGATAGCTACAGTGACTACAGTGACCGGTCCCGAAGGCACTCAAAGCGCTCTCATGATTCAGATGACTCAGACTATGCCAGCTCCAAACACAGGTGCAAACGACACAAATACTCATCATCCGATGACGACTATAGCCTCAGCTGCAGCCAGTCCCGAAGCCGATCTCGGAGTCATACGAGGGAGCGCTCAAGATCCCGGGGCCGAAGCCGCAGCAGTAGCTGTAGTCGGAGTCGAAGCAAGAGAAGTCGCAGCACTACAGCCCACAGCTGGCAGCGAAGCCGGAGCTATAGCCGAGACCGAAGCCGTAGCACCAGGAGCCCTTCCCAGAGATCAGGCTCCAGAAAAGGGTCGTGGGGTCATGAGAGCCCAGAGGAGAGGCGCTCTGGCCGTCGGGATTTCATTCGGTCGAAGATCTACCGCTCCCAGTCTCCCCACTATTACCGATCAGGTCGGGGAGAAGGTCCTGGAAAGAAAGAAGATGGCAGAGGAGATGACAGTAAAGGAACAGGCCTGCCCTCCCAGAATAGCAATACTGGCACAGGAAGGGGATCAGAAAGTGACTGCGGTCCTGAAGATAAGAATTCTGTCACTGCCAGGCTGCTATTAGAGAAGATCCAGTCCAGGAAAGTGGAGAGGAAACCCAATGTGTGTGAGGAGGTGCTGGCCACCCCTAATAAGGCTGGGCTCAAGTACAAGAATCCCCCACAAGGTTACTTTGGGCCTAAGCTCCCCCCTTCTCTTGGTAATAAGCCTGTCCTTCCACTGATAGGGAAGCTCCCAGCTACCCGGAAGCCCAGTAAGAAATGTGAAGAGTCTGGATTGGAAAGGGGTGAAGAGCAGGAACAGTCAGAGCCAGAAGAAGGGTCCCCAGGGAGTGGTGATGCTCCATTTGGGCATCAGTTCTCCTCAGAGGAAACAGCTGGTCCCTTATCAGACCCTCCCCCAGAAGAGCCAAAGTCTGAAGAAGCTACTGCTGATCACTCTGTGGCTCCGCTAGGTACCGCAGCACACACTGACTGCTATCCTGGGGATCCAGCCCTCTCCCATAACTACCTCCCTGACCCCAGTGATGGGGATACTCTGGAGTCTCTGGATAGTGGCAGTCAACCAGGCCCTGTGGAATCCAGCTTGCTGCCTATAGCCCCAGACCTTGAGCACTTCCCCAGCTATGCTCCCAGTGGAGAGCCTAGTGTTGAGTCAACAGATGGGACTGAGGATGCTTCCTTGGCTCCTCTAGAAAGCCAGCCCATCACCTTCACCCCTGAGGAGATGGAGAAGTACAGCAAGCTCCAGCAGGCTGCACAGCAGCACATCCAGCAGCAGCTTCTGGCCAAACAAGTAAAGGCCTTTCCAACCTCAGCAGCCCTGGCTCCAGCCACACCAGCCCTGCAACCTATCCACATTCAGCAGCCAGCCACAGCCTCTGCCACCTCCATCACAACTGTCCAACATGCCATTCTACAGCATCACGCTGCGGCTGCCGCCGCCGCCATTGGCATTCACCCTCATCCTCACCCCCAGCCACTTGCCCAAGTACATCATATTCCCCAGCCCCATCTGACTCCTATTTCCTTGTCCCATCTCACTCACTCAATCATCCCTGGCCACCCTGCCACTTTTCTTGCTAGTCACCCTATCCATATAATTCCTGCTTCAGCCATCCATCCCGGACCCTTCACTTTCCATCCTGTCCCACATGCTGCCCTCTATCCCACCCTGCTTGCGCCACGGCCTGCTGCTGCAGCTGCCACTGCCCTTCATCTTCACCCTCTTCTTCACCCCATCTTCTCAGGTCAGGACCTGCAGCACCCTCCCAGCCATGGTACTTGAGTTGGGACTAAGTTTAAGTTGGGCCAGGGAAGGTGACCTATTCTTCCCTTGGGGGTGTTGAGCCATTTATACCAGCAAGTGAAAGCTGGAATGGGCAGTGTCTTGACAGCCAAAGAAATGAGTTTTGGCTTGCAGGGATGGATTTAGATTTGAGGTTTGCTTTGGGTTTACTATCAGGGATATTTTCCCCCTTTCTATTCGTTCTCCCTCCTGTGTTTCTACCTTAGGGAACGCCAGTAAGTGCTACCCACACTCCTCTGCAGCAGACTGTCAAGCATAGATACTTCCTCCTCTACTTTGTAGTCCTCTGCTCTTCCTCCTGTATATTTAAAACATTTCCCTCCTCTAATGGGTTGTCACCAAAGCACTTGCCATGGGCCCATCTGGCCTGGCCTTCTCAATGCCAGGCTGTCTCTTCAGCAGTGGACCCTCCACCACTTTTGGGCAGTGTCTTTGAACAACATTTCGTGACATTATCCCAGATGAGGTAGAAGAGGGAGTCTAACCTAGAACCAAAAGCAACTCAGGCTGCAATTCGATCCACTTTCCTTACAAACAGAGCCACGCATTTGGCACTACTGTCTTCATGCCCCTCAGCCCAGAAGAGGCATCTACATATCCCAGAAAAGAAGATCCTATCATGAGTAGAAGCTGTGCGGACCATAGAGTCACTCATGTGCTTCCCAGAAAGGAGCTTATGTCTGGAGGGTATATTTTCTTCTGTTATGTTGATGTTTTCTTCTTAATTTATAGGATTTTTTAATGTAAAATTGCACTGAACTCTATAAACGTAAATGCTGCTTTTTGTAGCCCATATTAAAAAGGTTCCGTATTTGTAGTATACTGCAATAATATTTTTTACATCCAGCTCTTTAAGTGATCCTTGTTCTGGTGGCTTTCTGTAAATACGTTTGCCCTAGTTGAATTAAGAAACTTTAAAGGTTATAAGGTTAAAAAAATTAATAAAGTATTTGTTTTCTGCTAGATACAAAAGTGACTAAGCATGTATATTTTATCAAGCTCCTGTATTTTTTGAAGTTATGAACTATAAAAATGTTTTTGTTTTTTGGTTTTTTGTTTTGTTTTTGCTGGGACAAGTGTTAAATAATTTGCAGTAATTGGTTTATTCTGCACTGGGATTTTTGAGTTGATGGGCAGCAAACAGCTGCAGGCATCAGAAGGATGCTCAGTTGCAATGGTCTCCCTGACAGGCTTTGTTACACAGAGAAACAATTGACTCAGTGGAGGAGGGGAAGAGTGATTCAGCAGCTTTATTCTCTGGAAGAAGTGACACTCGGTGATTGTCTGGGAAGAAGGAGGGACCCTTGGTTTCCCTTGGTACCTTCTTCCAGACAGTCTATTTGCCTTCCTAGTATTTAGCCCCCTCTGACAATTTTTTTAATGTGCCTTTTGGGTTGGCTAGAAACTAAAATAGAAGTAGACCAGAGGATAATAGAGTTGGGACAGTTTTCTCCTCTTTTTGCTGGGAGGTGAGCACGTTTATAGGTACTTTTAGGTCTTTGGCTTCACAGTTGTATGCCGTCTGCCTAGCTCGATTTCAGCAGTAGAGATTCCTTTTGCTTTTCTCCCGTGACACTGACCAGAAGTGCATCAGTCCCTCTTCCCCGCTTGCCTTCACCCAGGCTCTCAGCCCTAGTTAACACTCTGGCCCAAAGGTGCTTGTAATGCAGGTCTCATCTCCTCTGCTGTTAGTGCTTGCTCTTCTTGTAACTGGGACTGGTTAAGCTGACAGCTGACAAGATAAGCCCTACTTGCCTAGGCCAGGGTTTTCTATTCATGGCCTTCTCAGATCCCCAGAAGGAGGAAGAGGTTTTGAGTTTCTGAGAAACAAGTGCTGAGCAAATGAGGCCCTTGTTTGAGCCCATCTTCACCTAATTCGGAAATACCACTCTTTGAAGAACTGGCCCTGGAGAAATGAAATCGATTTGAAGTGAAGGGACTCATTTTCCTTGCTTTCAGCCCATGTAAATATTGAAATAAAACAGTATTAACATTTGTGCTGCTTCCCGTTAGGTTGTAGATTGAGCCATACTCTGGCTGCCTCTCTGCTTTCCTGGAGGCAATTTTTTCTTTAACTTCCAGAATAGTAGTTTTAAAACTTCAGAAAAAAAAAAGGAAAAACAAAATAACCTATCCTTACTTACAAGCATAACAGATTGTATTTAACTTTATCACATACGATAGAGATATATATGCTGTAAAATGAGGGAAAGGAACTTTCTAATAAACCAATGCTTTGTGGAAACTTAGCAGAGTCCGTTGTGATTGTTGCCACTTCCACTCCCTCCAGCTGGGACAGGTTGGAGGTGTGGGTTATAAACAATGTCTTGTTGGAAGTAATTAAATAACAGATCCTTGTAAACATTGGAATTGTTCTTCTGGAGCTTGGTTTACCTCCAGGATTTACTTGTGTGTGGCTTTCCCCTTCGTAGGCAGATGACTGGGGGTGCACAGTACTTTTTTTGTTTTGTTTTGTTTTTCGAGACAGGGTTTCTCTGTAGCTTTGGCGCCTGTCCTGGAACTAGTCTTGTAGACCAGACTGGCCTCGAACTCATAGAGATCCGCCTGCCTCTGTCTCCCGAGTGCTGGGGTTAAAGGCGTGCGCCACCACCGCCAGGCTGCACAGTACTTTTAAGGGCCACTTGAATTACAGGATTTGTCTGGCCTTTGACCTCCAGCTGTACCCGTGTTAACGTGGCTTGAATTACTGCCCTCAACCCCTGACCAGCACACACCAGGAAATCACGTGGGACCAGGGAATCTGGCTGGCATAGAAGGCATGCATAGTGATGGAGCTGTGTTGTGTCTATCTCCTCCCTCCCTTTGATGCACTTGTGTGCTCTCTTCTACAGAAAAGCTGAATGTTCACAATTGTTTGCCTGAGATGGTGGAGATCTGTGTCTCAGAAAGGTGTTAGAAAATGAAAAGGGAGCCAGGCGGTGGTGGCGCACGCCTTTAATCCCAGCACTTGGGTGGCAGAGGCAGGTGGATCTCTGTGAGTTCAAAGCCAGCCTGGTCTACAAGAACTAGTTCCAAGACAGGCTCTAAAGCTACAGAGAAATCCTGTCTTGAAACACCAAAAAATGGAAAAAAGGGGCTGGAGAGTTGAGTCAGTAGTTAGAGCACTGTCCCAAAAATCCCAGATTCAATTCCTAGCACCCGCATGGACGCTCACCACCTCCTTGGGCTTCAGGCATACACCCAACTAATACACAGACATACCTGCATGAAAAACATTCATCACAAAAAAAAAATGTAAAAATACATTTTTAAAATAATGAAAAGTGAATTTCTGAGAGCAAGGAAGGCAGCAAATAGAAGAGACAGGGCTACCTAGCCTGTGCTGTGTGAAGTCAGCCTGCCTGCAAAGCCTGTGCTCTGTGATGTCAGTTGTCTTGTGATAAGAGCTCAGCCATGTAAGCTGGGAGACTCTTGAAGTACTCCCTCTTTTACAACCGTGATGCCTGATCCAGGCCGTGTCTATCATTTCTATTCTCATTGACACGGAAAGCTCCACCTCGCTCATACCAACTGACCTGCTCACTGCAGCATTTTCCTGGCTGAGGTCCCTAACTAGGATCTAACCCCTGCCCCATGTCAGAACCCGAGTGCCATCCATTTTATATTCACTGCTTCTGGTAAAAGGGTGAGCTCTGAGAAGACAAGCTAAAATTGTGTCTCCTTAAAGGCAAACAAAACATGCACTTTTTGTTACCTTGCTCAATGCCAAGCCATGATAAAAGCTTGATGGTTGCTGATTAAATGAAGCCAAAACAGAACTGGGTTCATTGAGGGATTCTAGGACCTCGGGCCCATGGATAGTACCAATCATCGACGCATGTTCAGCAGAGGTGACCCAGTTCTGACACCGAAAGAATGCAGTCCTCTCCTTGGTCCAAATCTCATCTTCTCTCCTTGGGGTTCTGGTTTTAGTGAATAATACAGTCCACCAACTAGCCAAGCACCAAAACTTTTGAATTACCTTTGGCCACTTCCAGCTGCTGATTCTGTCCTTAGCTGTAGTTTCTCTTTTGGTTTTTGGAAATGGAGCCTTGCTATGTAGCCTTGGATGGTTTGGGTGACTTGCTGTTTGGTCCAGGCTTTCCTCAAACTTGGTGTATCTCTTCCTGCTTCATCCTCCTGCTGGGTTGTAGTCCTGTGTCACTATGCCTGTCTCTGCTGGCTTATTACTACCAGTACCTGGTTCAGGTATCACCTTCAGCCCAGAGTGCTGCCTTACCCAGCAGGTCTTTCCACAAAGTCCGTCCTTCCTCAGGCAGCGAGTGTCATGTTCTAAACTGGAGCACAGTTTGTCATTGAGGCTCTGTCTTAGGGTTTCTACTACTTCAGTGAAACACCACAACCAACGCAACTCGGGGAGGAACGGACTTTTCTCAGCCTGGACTTCCACACTACTGTTGATCATCAAAGGAAGTCAGAGCAGAAACCCAGAGGCAGGAGCTGATGCAGAGACCACGAAGGGGTGTGCTTACTCTTGCTCAGTCTGCCATCTTGTAGAACCCAGGACCACCAGCCCAGGGATGGCACCACCCACAATGGGCTGGGCCCTCCCCCATATATCACTACTTAAGGAAATGCCTTATAGGCTTGCCTGTAACCCGATCTTATGGATGCGTTTTCTTTTTTGTTTTGTTTTTTCTGGTTTGTTTGTTTTTTAAGACAGGGTTTCTCTATGTAACAGTCCTAGCTGTCCTGGAATTCACTCTGCAGACCAGGGTGGCCTCAAACTCAGAGACCCACCTACCTCTGCCTTATAAGTGCTGGGATTAAAAGTGTGAGCCACCACCACCCAGTGGGAACCTGAGTTTGAATCCTAATTTCGCTGCCCGTTGGCATTCTACACGTAGACAGTTTACCCAAAATTGTTCTGCTAGTTTCGCCCTTGTGATATAGTTGGAGTCATATCCATTTCATAGAGTCGCTTCCTCATTTCCTTTCCGAGGTGGACTTGCTGTCACCCGGTGGCAGTCCTGAGTGTCTGAGTTGAGGACTGAGTTGAGGATCCTTGACTGTTGTCGTCTTAGCCACTATGCATCAAACAGAGGAGGTTCTTTTTTAAAACTCTGGTGCGTGAGAGCCGGGTGTGGTGGCACTCAGAAGAGGTGAGCAGATCTCTTGTGAGTTCGAGACCAGGCCAGCCTGGTCTACAGAACTGTTTCCAGGACAGCCAGGGCTACATGGTGAAACCCTATTTAAAAAAAAAAAAAAGTCCTCTAGTGCATGGGGCTAGAGAGAGATGGTTCAGGAACTCAGTATTTACTGCTCTTGCAGAGGACCCCGATTCAGTTCCTACATCCATGTCAGGCAGTTCCAGGGGATCCGACATCCTCCTCCTCCATGGGCACTTGTACGCACATGGTGCAGATAAGCACACACACTTGAATAACACATTTAACAACAACAACAAAAATCACGGTGGCGCATGTTTTTAATTCCAGCACTTGGGAAGCAGAGGCTGGCAGATCTCTTGAGTTGAGGTTAACCTGTCTAGTCAGTTCCATGATGTCAGGGCTACACAGAGAAATCCTGTCTTGAAAAACAAGCTATTCTAGTCCATAAACTACAGTTGGTGATGGTATTCTTACAATATCAGAACTCCAGAGATGGAGGCAGAAAGATCAGATGTTTACAAGTCAGCCTGGACTAAATGAAACCCTGATTTAAAAAGAGGCCTCTTTTGATGTTGGGAGTGGGGAATAAGCCCAAAAAGAAGGCTCAATGAACAACGGCACGTGACTGCCAAACCTGGTGACTCGAGTTCAGTAGTCCTGTTAACTCCATGCTCATGCTTCAGCACACGCATGCACACAAAGCAGGTCTTAAACTATGATTAAAAGTGGGAGGGGTTTTTTTTTTGTTTGGTTGGTTTTGAGACATGCTTTCTCTGTGGCTTTGGAGCCTGTCCCAGCACTGATTAAAAGTTTTTGAAGCAGGTAGTGGCAGACTCCTTTAATCCCAGCACTCGGGAGGCAGAGGCAGGTGGAGCTCTGTGAGTTTGAGGACAGCCAGGGCTACACAGAAAAACCCTGTCTCAAAAAATAAAAAATAGGGCTGGAGAGATGGCTCAATGGTTATGAGCACTGTCTGCTCTTCCAAAGGTCCTGAGTTCAATTCCCAGCAACCACATGATGGCTCACAACCATCTGTAATGAGATCTGGTGCCTTCCTCTGGCATGCGGGCATACATGGAGGCAGAATGTTGTATACATAATAAATAAATCCTTTAAAAAAAATAAAATAAAAAAAAAATAAAAAAAAAAATAAAAATAAAAAATAAAAATAAAACAACTATAATGTGATGTGAGTTCCCATTGTTGGGCTACACAGAATATGCCAGCAATGCGGGAAGCCTCGGGGAAGAAGAGCGGGAAGATGGGGGCTCAGCAGAGGCCATGTGGAGCATCCTTCTGACAGAAGCATTGCATGCCTGTCATGAGGGCGGCACTGAGAACTCACCAGTGAAGAAAGGCCTAAGTAAAACTCACAGGGCGTTTCACTTAGTGGGGGATAAAATCTTTAGCTGTTTGCTGAGGTGATGAAGCATGAGAGGAAGGGAGGAGCTAAAAGGACTTCAAAATGGGATAGGTTGGCCAAGTAAGGTAAGGCAGTGGTTAATTTAATCAGAAATGAAGATCAAACCTGAGTGCATGGCTCAGTAATAAAGCACTTGTCTTACAGGTGTGAGGCTGTTCCTAGTACTGGAGAGAGAGAGAGAGAGAGAGAGAGAGAGAGAGAGAGAGGATGAATACAGGCTAAAAGGAGGGTGTGGCTATGTTCTTTTATTTCTTTGCTTTGGGGCCAAAGGCTCGCAAGACCAACAGGGCGTGGTGCTCCTCTACTTCCCTCGCCCACAGAAAAAGCCTTTCTACTCGGAGCTTGACCCTTTCCACTCTGTCACTGCTTCCTCCATCCTTTAGGAAGACTTTGGCAGCAGCACGTGCTGGGACAGCGGAAAGGATTCGGATACTCAACCCAGTAAAGAGTGGCATCAGGGTCATCAGGGGCCAACCCGAGGATGCCATCCAGAGTCCGTTCTTTTTCTGTCTGTTTTCCAAGACAGGGTGTCTCTGTGTAACAGCCCTGACTGTCCTGGAACTCAATTGGTAGACCAGGCTGGCCTTGAACTCACAGAGATCGTCCTGCCTGAATGCTGGGACTAAAGGCATGTGCCGCCGCCACCCGGCTCAGAATCAGTTGTTTATGGCTAGATGTACCCTGTCACCCAAGAAGGAGTGAAGCTGTCCACCTGAACAGCTAGTGCCTAAATTCAGGGACTGTGAACAGCACACCCTAGCATGATGTCATTTTAGCCCCATCGCCTTTCCTCTTAGACCAGGATCTGTTCACCACCCTTCCCCCAGCTTTGA